AATTTAATGCCTAACATCTTAAAAGACTTTTCTAGACTCAAAGCTATATACTCTACACATTTTCCAAATCTGATTATTTTATCCTATTTGTTTGAAAACCAACCCTGTTGCTCAATTTCTGAAAATTTCTAGACACCTATTTATCATTTTCCGAAACTAATTGAGCTCTTTGGGATTTTTAACTTAAGGTTTGTTTATTTTATATCGCATGTGTTAGTCTTCTGCCTGCATCCTTGTGTGTACACCACGTGTGTCTGGTGCCCATGAAGGCCAGGGGAGGTGTCGGGTCACCCACGACAATAGCTACAGACAATTGGGAGCCACTAGGAGGGTGCTGGGAACAGAATCCGGATCCTCTGCAAGAGCAGCATGTGTTCGTATACACTAAGCCAGTCAGTCCCTGGGATTTTTAAATTACTGTTTTCAATGAGGATAAATTATATAAATTATTTTTTAAGCTCATGGGCTTTCCTTAGCAGAAGACTTGCAATATAAATCAGTATAAGAAAGAAATCCTATTTGGGACATCAATTCATGTTGAACTACGCCTTTATCCATTACACTTTCTATACCCTCCTTCCCTCAACAACAGGTATGTTCAAGTATTTCCCAGAGCCTCACAATAGCCAGGAAAGATGGTATTTTGAAGGTAAAGATTAAGAAGAAGCATGGGGCAGGGAGTGCAATCCAGTCGTGGAGTACTTGCCAACCATGCACAGAACTTAGCTCATTCCACAACACTACATGGGGAAATAGGTTTGGTTTTTTGTTTTTCTTAAAAGCATGAAGCTACTGTAAGAAAAAGAAAAACCTGGTGGTAACTACAAAGGAACTACAGTAATCCGTCTCAGAACAAGGTTCCCTAAAAACAGAAAATAAGAAATGGAAAGTCCGATTCCCAAATGGTTCATTTCCCAGAATTTGCAAACAGTCTGTTTTCTCTCAATTTCCTTTTTCAAGAGTTATTCGTAATCTACCAGCTTCTCACAAACACTGGTCAAGTGCCATTCACCGGCAATTCTATTCTATTAAGTGAATACACACTTTCATCTTAAGAGCAAGTATGCACCTAAGAGTTGACACCGCTCTTTCCTGACCTGGAAGATAAGCACTCAGCCAGATAGGAGAGAAGATGCTCTGCTGCCCTGTCTACCTGAGAGGGTGCTGGGAAAAGCAGGTAGAAACTTCCCACTGCTCTCAGGACACAAGTATATGATCAAGGCCAAGCACACACCTGCTGTGTGAAAGGTGCACAGCCACACTGGTTCCAATGAGCCCAGGGCCCCTGGGGTCTTCACTGCATTCTCAAGCAATAAGAGGGTAGAAGTGGATGAGACCGGGTTGACAATACATGGCCAGTTGTCCACACATACTCAAAAGCAGGCCACAGGTTTTTACTGGTCATTGGAAAAGTTAAAAGGATATGAAGAAGGTCCCAAGAGAAATACATATGGACTAGAATTATTGTTAAGGTCGCCGGGCGGTGGTGGCGCATGCCTTTAATCCCAGCACTCGGGAGGCAGAGGCGGGCGGATCTCTGTGAGTTCGAGGCCAGGCTGGACCGACAGCCTCCAAAACAATACAGAGAAACCCTGTCTCGTAAAAAAAAAAACCAAAAAAAAAAAAAAAAGAATTATTGTTAAGGTCAATGTGATGATGGTGACTTCCCTACTGAAATTAGTGGTAACTTTTTACAGTGTGGTCTTCAAAAGAACTTCTATAAAAAGAACAGTGTACTATTTCTTAGCCCAACAATACTTGCTATACTCAGTATTTTATAGTAGATTTAACCTCATATTTGACCATTCCACTACCTCAAGCCTCTTGGAGTTTTCTTGTCTCAAACTGTTTTTCTTCTTTGTTTTGCTAATCTCTATCTGCCTCACTATAAAGTCTGTCCAGAACCCACAGTACTCGAACCTTGGGCCACATAAGTTTTCAAACTTCACAGAACTCTATTTACAAAGATCAGGGCACCAGTGTCCTCTCTTGATGTTGCACAACTAGGCAGCAATAATTAGATCACCTGAGAAGAAACCATTAGAAAAGCCTTACTGCCACTGACACCTGCGAGAGAATCCTTTGTCTGAGACTAAGCTTCCCAGCACAGGCACTTATTAGTAATTATAAAAGCTTGGCCCCTGGCTTAGGCTTGTCTCATTAGCTCTTACCATTTAAATTAACCCATTTATCTTAATCTATGCTTTGCCTCATGGCTTTTGACCTTCCTTTATTCTGTATGTCCAACTCTTTCCATACCTTGTTGGCGTCTGACGCGTGCCAAGATTCATTTCCTACTTCCTCTCTTTCTGCCTGGATGTCCCACCTATACCTCCTGCCTAGCTATTGGCCTTTCCGCCTTTTATTCCACCAATCACAGCAAAACATTTTCAACAATGTACAAAATCCCACAGCATCCCTGAAAAGCCAGATAAATCCAACCCATGAACAGCTATGCAGAATGGTGAACAGCAGTCAACCCAGCCAGCACCTAGGCTGAGATCCAAGAGCAGAGAGACGCCAAGGGCCCTGTACCTTCTGCACTGCTTGCTAGCTTGCATGGGAAGGACACAATCTACAACAGACACCTCAGAGCTTCCACTGAAACCCCAGAAGGATACAAAGAGGAGTAATGGAAAATGTAAACTAGTCCTTTATAATACTTAGCAACCAAACATCCTACAGAACACAAATGCAGTAAGTATGATCTCCTAAAGAGCTGCTACATTAAGCCCAATTCAGTATGAGAAAAGCATGCCATTTGTTTGGGTCAACATGAGCATTCCCCTTTATCTTATAAAGAAAATAAAAGAGTAAATCAAATCTGCAGTTAGAACACATCAACCACATCTTCACAAGTGGCCATACAATTTTCCCAGTATTCATTAAAAATTTTTAGGCATATCAGGGTGCAAGACTAATATCTAGTATGGACATAAAAATAGCTTTAATTAAAATGTTCAAGAAGGGACTGGAGATGGTTCAGTAGTTAAGACAAGAGAATGTGGGTTGGATTCCCAGTACCATAGTTGCATACAGCCATCCCTAACCCAATCCAGACATGCATGTGGTGTACATACAAACATCCATGCACATAAAGTTAAAAAATCTTCAAAGTTTAAGATATAGTGCTAAAAATATTGAAGAAAATGGTAAGATGTAGAAATTTCCTAGAAAAGTGGTCCATGAGAAATAGTAACAAGTGAAGATGCTAAGAGTTAGAGATCAGTACCAGCAAGAAACAGATGTCTTTTGAATATGATCCAGCTATTGGACCCAGTTTTAGTAACATACACCACATTTAATAATCACAATTCAATCACATTTAAGACAGACCACTGAGGTCGGCAGCCATACACAACAGCCAAGTCTCAGGCCAAGCCTGTGTACCAACGCCACCACACATAGAACTGAGACTCCCATCACTCACATTTCACGGCACACCTACACATGGTATTTCATAAACAAAGACATAAACAGCATAAACAGTAAAGAAAATTACCCCTCACCTGTTCTTTCCCTTTCTGTCTTGTATCTGTACATATACTCAAAAGCACTGCCTTTCCCCATCTCTCTCTCTCTCTCTCTCTCTCTCTCTCTCTCTCTCTCTCTCTCTCTCTCTCTCTCTCTCACACACACACACACACACACACACACACACACACTATTTTTTAAAAAATACAACCAAAGTCCAAATAAAATGAAAAATTATACAGGATATGTTTAATCCCAGCTCTAACTAAAACCAGGTGGCTACTCTTCCTCCCTTTTTATGTGCACCACCTTATTCGTTCCGTTATCCTCAGTGTCCTCTTGTAAACGTCAGAAACTAAAATGAAAGGTCCACAGTAGAGTGCCGACCCAGTCAAGAACCAAAGGCTCTGGGGCTGTGAGCACCAACACAGTTAGGCAAGTCTGGGCATCGCTCAAATGATGCATACCTAAAGAAAACTCTACAACCATGGTTCTCAACTTGTGGGTCGTGACCCCTTTGAGGGTTGAAGGACCTTTCACAAGGGTCATCTAAGTCCATCCTGAATACCTGATATTTACATTATGGTTCATAACAGTAGCAAGACTACTCACTGATTTTATGGTTGGGGGGTCACCACAACATAAGGAACTATATTTAAGGGTCCCAGCATTAGAAAGGTTGAGACCCAGTGCTCTAGAACATCCTAGAACTTCATCTTACTATTAAGGAGGGCTGGGGCGGAAGACCAGATATAGTGGTACACATCTGTAATCCTAGCACTTCAGGAGACTGAGCAGGAAGGCCAAGAAGTTCATGGCTACCTCAGACTACATGCCAGGCGTCCAGTCTTAAAAAACAAAACAAAACAGAGAGAAAGGAGTCCTCTTCTCAAAAGTTGACTATTTTTGAGAACCTTTAAAAATGTATTAATTATCCACGCTCCAGGGCAGACCTAATGCTCAAGAATAGCTGAGTGGGCTGGAGAGATGGCTGAGCCGCTAAGACTGCAGGCTCACAACCAACAGTATAAGAATAGCTGACCAACACAAAACATAGTCCTTCCTTTACGTCCTCTTTTTTGGTTATGGTTTGGTGGGCTTTGTCCTTTTGGTTTTTGTTTAATTGTCTTTTTTGTTTCTGTTTTTGAAGAGAGAGAAAAGATTAATTTTGGTAGTAGGTATGAAGGTGGGAAGGATCTGAGAGAAGTAGAGGTGAAGAAAGAAATTTTTAAAATAGTAAAAAATAATTTAAAAACTTAGCCTATGTTTGTTTTTATTTTTAAATTATTTTAGGTTATTTTTAAACTAAGACCCTTATACTGAAAGAGCTAACATTTTGTTTCTGAAGAAATCTACTCAACACGAATAGCATAAAGAGACTTGTCTAAAAAGAACAACAGATACTTTCTCAGTCCCAGTGCAGCGTAAAGTTCACGGTCTAAGACTAGCTTTTTTATTTTTGCCTGTACTCCCGCACTTGAAGGAAACACAGGTCTCTAACATTAGTGGATATAAACATGTCTTACCAAATTCCGCTTTTTTAGTGGAAGAAAGTAATAATAGTGGCAGAAAGAAAACATCAGTGCGTAGCAAGTGAGAAGCTCAGTGTAGAAACACAACTGCAGAAAGAGCCAGTGGTTGTCTTCACCTACACAATTGTTTATCCTGGAGAGAGAGAGACATGTAAACTTTAGTGAGACACTCTTACCAGGGTGGTGAGGCTAAGCCTGTCCCCAACCTAAAAGCCAACTGTTTAAAGACACACATTTATCCACTGGAGTCTACAGCCCTCTAATTTACAGCAGCCCAGCGAGGCAGGAGAGCAGACACGGGCTGTCAACACAGGAAGAGGAACACAGCATTCAGGCCACTGGCCAAAGGCTACCTGGAGAGAATGAAACTAAGAGGACAAGGGGAACCTGTCCCTGGCTTTCCCGCCTCTGTAAAGCATTCTAGCAGATGAGAGCAATCTGAGTACTACAGGGAAAACAGCTCCAACTTGCTACCTGGATAGAAATATCATATATATATATATTTTCTGAGACAGGGCTTCTCTGTGGCTTTGGAGGTTGTCCTTGAACTAGCTCTTATAGACCAGGCTGATCTCAAACTCACAGAGATCTGCCTGCCTCTGCCTCCCGAGTGCTGGTATTAAAGGCGTGTACTACCACCACCGCTTGGCCTTTTTTTGTTTTTTAACTTTATAAAAAAAATTATCCTTGGCTGCTGAAAACAAAAATGTATTCAAGATCACTTACGTGTCCCCTCTGCCAAAATAACAGCAGCAGATGATGGTGCTATCATCATAAACTACCAAGACTGATTTAAAAGGAGTGTTCTATTGTTACAAAATTAGTATATTTTAAGATTCCATAGAAAAATCTAATTTAAAATTCCAATACAAAATTATTTTTCTCAAAATTCTATGAATGCTTCTCTTTCAAAATAGAACTATATTATCACAAGGGTGTGTGTGTGTGTGTGTGTGTGTGTGTATCAAGTTCAATTTGTGCCTTAAATTATACTTCTGAGATGAATACTTTTTGCATTATTTTTAAAAATCAAACACAACTAAGCTGAAACCCTGTGGGGTTTCCCTGCGGCTACAGGACACACACTTGGAAAACAGGACAAGTCAAAGCTTTGTTATCTTCAGAGACACTTTAAGAGAAGCTGCTCTTTTTTTTTTTTTTTTTTTTTTGGTTTTTACGAGACAGGGTTTCTCTGTATTGTTTTGGAGGCTGTCCTGGAACTAGCTCTTGTAGACCAGCCCGGCCTCGAACTCACAGAGATCCGCCTGCCTCTGCCTCCCGAGTGCTGGGATTAAAGGCGTGCGCCACCACCGCCCGCTCACTCCAGCCGGAAAAGGCTCAGCTGCGGCTGCCCCACCTGTAGTGCAATGTTTCCCTTTTTGGGGATCCACCACCCAACTCCCAAATAACTCACACACAGTGGCTTACTCTTAGTTATGAAAGCTAGCCTTAGCTTGGCTTGTTTCTAGCCCGTGTTCCTTACCTTAAGTCATCACATCTACCTTTTGCCTGTGGGATTTTTCCTTTTTTTACTTCTGCATATCTTACTTTCACTCTTATGCCCACGGCTGGCTGGGTGACTGGCCCCTGTCGCCTTCCTCCCTTTTTCTCTGGGGCTCTTCCATTGATCACCCTTTTCCTGGCTCTCCTTCTATTTATTCTCCCTGCCTGCCAGCCCCGCCTATCCTTGCTCCTGCCTTGCTATTGGCTGTTCAGCTCTTTATTAGACCATCAGGTGTTTTAGACAGGCAAAGAATCACAGCTTCACAGAGTTGAGCAAATGCAGCATAACAAAAGTAACATCTTAAAATAATATTCCCCAACACCACCCTCCTCTCCTTAGCAGGCTCCAGAACAGGCTAGGAGACAGCATCTAGGGAGCCCTGACAGGCAAAGAGCATTTAGAAAGAATGGTCAGAGACAAAAACAAAGACCTTGAGGCATCTGAGGGTTCACCACTGACTCTGAAGCAGTTACAATGCTGCAGTTCTGAGAACTTTAAGAACCCCCTGCTTCCAATTAACACTGTGGGCACACTCATTTGGACAGCAGCAGTGCTCTGCAGGAATTCAACCTAAGAAATCCCAAGTCTAGATCTGTCAACCTTCCTTGTTAATCTCCAACTTCTTTCTACTCCCCTCTCCTCCCACCAATACCCTGAAACAGACACCAGAAGCAAGAAGCCTATGGACAGAAATATCTCAGATCATGCTTCAAGTTAAAGGGTGCTTCATTTCCTCACCAACAAGCTAGTTTTACCTCTTAAAAATATATCACAAGTATTAACAGGCACATAGCCCAGATTATTTTTTTAACTTTAAATTATGGCATTTTCTTGTAAGGAAGCATTAACACCCAACTAAAGCATGAATATTTACCATCTTTTTCATTTATCAGGAAAACTAATACAAAAAAAGTGTTAGGAATTTTCAGTGTGATTATCACTCATCAGAATGCAGATTTCACATAGTATTTTTCATGTACTATTATTGTGGTTATAAATATCACTGAGGTTTAGAAAATTAATTGAGAACTGATCTATTTAAAATGTGAAGCACACTTTTTGAGCACTGTATGTCATAGTATACAGTATCCTATAGAAGATCTAAACAATTTAAAAACCTGAAGTGCTTTTATTTAAAATGCTCTTCAGAAATAAATAAAATAAAATGCTCTTCTGTTTTTCTAGTCTCTGGAAATCTATTAAATAAACAGTTCACAGGTAAAAAAATTTTAAACTAAAAGTTTGCTAATTAGCAATGCTATCAAAATGTCATAGTTATAAGTAAGGGAAAGTTATCATAATAAAGTTATCATAAATAAGGAAAGTGAAACTGATTAGCATCATTAGACAAAGATGAAGTTTCTTCTCCAGCCAAATGCAGGTAAATAAACTTTCTTCAAGTTAAAGAGGACTATTATATAGCTAACTTCATATATATATGCATGCATGTGTGTACAAACATACATTTATAAAGTGCTATATCAATTTATAGGTGCTATAGCAATTTAAATATTTAAACAAGATCCAATGTTAGAGAAGCAGAATTAAATATAGTATCTTGCTCAAGATTTCTCTAACAGCTTTGAAATGAAATACAATAGATTCTCAGAGCATTTGGTTTTTTGGTTTCTTATCTACTTTAAACAGAAAGTCTTTAAATATTACAACAGAGCCCCCTATTGACCAAATATATTGGTAGTTCCACAGAAACAGCTAATTGGCACTTACAAATATCCAAGATGGCACAAAATGTTAATAATGTCTAACAGAAAATACTATAAAAGGCATAAGGAGTGCAAGGGAGCTATTAGCAAATCTGGAAAGTGTTCCTCAACAAGTAAGGAAGCAGTGGTCATGTGGCTTAAGCCCCAGTAAGAGAAACAGTTGTCCGGGGAGTGCTTCCACACAGCTGACCATGTACCGAATGCTCTGCAGGCATTGCTCCATTTGATATGACTACCTTATCCTTCTGTATATTTGGGTTTCTGTTAATTTTGAAGTTTTCTGCTCATATGTATTCTTGTTAGAAAAGATAAATCTCTACAGATAATTTACTCTGGGACTTGCAAGAACCATTTTTATTAAAAAAACACTTAGTGGAATGACTGAAGTGTTATTTTTGCTTAAAGCTGGATGGTTCTCAGATTGTTTGTTTTTATTTTCATTAACTAATCCTCCTGCCTCAGCTCCTGAATGCTGGGATTACAGATGTGCACCAACACACTCAGATGCTACAGGATAATTTCACCAGTAATCCTGCTGCTGTCTGTAAGCACTATGATCACCTGCTTACCAAGGACAGTGGTGGTCCATCCTCCTTACACAGTGGCCACAGCGGCTGCAGTGATGGGAGCGCTTTGGCCTCATCAAATTACACTTGTTGCACAGCTCCCACAGCTCCCGTTCTGTAAAGGAGAGCAAACCACTTAGGAAGAAGGCACAGGAGTGATGCTAAGATGCTGAGACTCAGTAACCACAGCAAGTGATGCTGAGACGCTGAGACTCAGTAACCACAGCAAGTGATGCTGAGACTCAGTAGCAACAGAGTGATGCTGAGACTCAGTAAGACTCAGTAGCAAAGGAGAGTGATGCTGAGACTGAGCAACCGCTACATATCACAAGGGGAGTCTTGAACTTGTTCCTCCAAGACATTTCTCTTTTTTTCTGAGTCTCCAAAGTAAGCAAGCACCTTTGACATAAATGCCACTATATACCTTCTGTGTTTTTAAATATTTCCATTTTAACATTACAAAAAAAGATACCATTATTTCAAAGTAAATGACAGGAAGCATGGTTCTGAGGAAAAAAAAACATGAGTGCAACCAAAATCTTATAAAACCCTAAACTCAACCAAAACACTAGAATTTTATATAAGTCAATTAATTTACACATTTTTAGCTAAGAATACTAAAGAAGAAAATACTGAATCTTACTTTCAATATATAAAAGTTGAAGCCAATCTTATGTCTCTAAAACATCTTATGTTTTTAATATTAATAAATTAATTTGAGCATGTGTATTAAGAGTAGGTTGGCGGTCAGACTCGGTTTAGAAGACACCCTATAAAGAAGTGGAGGTTAGTATTTAATGCAAATAAAAAGATGAGTGTTTTTCATGAGACAGGGTCTTACTACTATGTAAACCAGGCACGCCTGAACTGCCAATAGTCCCACCACAGCCTCCCTGGTACTAGAATCAGCTTTTGCCTATTACCCAGTAAGTAATTTCCTCTGTGCTGCAAGAAAACAGTCTACAATCATAAGTTTGCAGAAGTAAAGAGAAAAGTGTTTTGTTTTCATTAAAAATAGTTCTAATCACATCCATAAAAACTATTAATTCATCTTGCGATAAAATAATTGCTTCCTTATGTGAGATCCATATTCCTTGCAGTTACTAAAATGGAACTTTACCATTATAAAATTCTTAAAATTTCAGCACTTATATTTCTACTATCTTTATAATCTTACAGTAAATGGATAGACATAGCAGTTCTCAGAGTGAATATTATCATGGAGAGTGTGGTCCTTGTATACTGTAGTAATCATTAAATGCCTGCTCAAATAGGAAAGTTAAAATTTGTAAAAGAGATTCTAAATGAAGATGACACCATGGGAGTGGGAAGGGAGATAGGAGACAGAGGAGGGGAGAAGGGGAAGGGAGAGGAGAACATGAGGAATCAGGAGGCCGAGTTGGGGGAAGAACAAAGGAGAGCAAGAAAAGAGATACCTTAATAGAGGGAGCCATCATGAGCTTAACAAGAAACCTGGCGCCAGGGAAATGTTCAGGGATCCACAAGGATGACCCCAAATAGGATTCTTAGCAATAGTGGAAAGGCTACCTTAATGCCCTTCCCTTATAATGAGATTGATGACTACCTTAAATGCCATCCTAGAGCCTTCGTCCAGTAGCTGATGGAAGCAGAAGCAGAGACTCACAGCTAAGCACTAAGCTGAACTCCTGGAATCCAGTAGTAAAGAGAGAGGAGTGATGAGCAAAGGTCAAGACCATGCTGGGGAAACCCACAGAAACAGCTGACCTGAGCAAGGGGGAGCTCATGGACCCCAGTCAGACAGCTGGAGAACCAGCAGAGGACTGAACCAGGCTCCCTGAACATGGGTGCCAGTAGGAAGGCCTGGGCAGTCTATGGGGCCTCTGACGGTGGAACCAGTACTTATCCCTAGTACACAAATGGGCTGTAGGAGCCCATTCCCTATGGAGAGAGACTCTTTTAGCCTGGGGGGAGGGGGGAGGACAGGAGGGAGAGGGAACTGGGATTGGTATGTAAAATAAGATTGTTTTTAATTTAAATAAAGAATTGATTTTTAAAAAAAGGTGACAATAGTGTTCAATTTTCTGAAAGGATGTCCTTTTTAAATTCTATTACTTTGGTTTAATGGCTGGGACTAGATCAGAATACTTCAATCTTAATAGAAAAGTGTGAGAAAACTCTGCTGTAGAAATTTTGAAAGCAACAGGTAAGTAAAGGAAAATGTTTTTTTAAAAAAATCACCTCTTATGGTTCCTTTTAGATGGAAACATGCCATGAGAGATACAACGTTGCAGCGGCCCACCTGTACCGCACACAGGATGGGAACTCCTGCACAGTGGCTCCAGCAGGTCCCAGGGGCATTCAAGAGCAAAACCTAAGGCTGACACTGGTGATTCACACAAAGCAAGCAGACAGAGGAGATGCTCCACAGCGGGCCAATTTCCACAGAAAGACATTATAGAAACTTTCAAAAGCAGTCCTTTAAAGCACAAGTATGTTTTCAATCTTCTATCATTCTCTGGTTTTTTTTTGGGGGGGGGGAGGAGGGATTCAAGGCAGGGTTTCTCTATGGCTTTGGAGGCTGTCCTGAAACTAGCTCTTGTAGACCACGCTGGTCTCGAACTCACAGAGATCCACCTGCCTCTGCCTCCCGAGTGCTGGGATTAAAGGCCGGTGCCACCACCGCCGGCTCTATCATTCTGTGATGAATTAGCATATAACAGTCTATGGAGAATTAATGCATTGTTCCATGTCTAAAATCATGTTTCCAGAGGAGACAGTAACTCTGCTGCCCAAATCAGACTCTTAACTTCTCCCACCTATAACCCCTTCTCACTGGAGGAGTTTTTAATACAATCCCAGTTATATAGGTAAGTAAGTTTAGAAAGCAAACTTTATTGATGAATCACAAATCATTTTAAAGCAATTATTCGGTTTACACATGATTTTGACATTTAAAGAATTTCATACCAGTAATACTTGTGCTTGTTAGCTTTCACATAAAGAAAGATTTGATGAATATTTGATACTGCAAGACAGAAAGCTTTTAAATGTTTTGCAGTTGACTGATACTCTGACTTTATAATCCTCAGTGCTGAGAACACCACATATAAATACATAGCACAAATGGCATAAGAACATCCAAAGCCATTTCAGAAATTATTCCGTCATAATCCCAAGCCAAAAGTCATTTAACAAAATTTTAAATGAAACTCAAGTCAGAAACTTAAGCAAAAAAAAAAAAAATATATATATATATATTTCTTTCTTGAAACACATCTTCCTATTTAACCCTGTTTTGCCTGAAACTCACTATGTAGACCAGGTTGGCCTTGAATCTGTGGGTGATTTCTCTGCTTCTGCCTCCTGAGTAGTAAGATTACAGACATATATCTCTCACCTAACTCTTCAAACAGCAATATTTAAGATTCAACATTCCAGGAAGATAAATCCAAGGATTTGTCCATTTGATACATGCACACAGAGAAATGAAATAGGAAAATACTGAGTTCTTGTTTTCTTTAGACTTTTGTCTCTACAAGAGAAGAAAACTTTGTACGTACAGTAAAAAAAAAAAAAAAACTACAGTTCATGCGTATAATAATACAATAGCCATGACTCTGATCCTAAGTGTTTCAGGCAGCATTTACTAGGGGGAGACTGTGCATTCCAGAACTCAGTGACATTACCCACTGCTCAGTGCAGGCAAGTGCTACTAGACGTACCTCAGACTCAGCATTCATTTCACTTAGAACTAAGTTTGCACCATTTTTACTTTAGTTGAAGTTTTCCTGACCCCCATATTAAGTTACAGGACCCACAGTTTAAGAAGCTAGGGCCCAGGCTAGCAGACTAGCAAACTCCAGCACGCAGGGCACTCACGTTCACTCCTTTTCTATAAAACCCAAAAACACTTGTGACTCAGAATTACAAAGCAAAATCTTTTAAAATCTTCTATTTTCAAATAATACAGCATGTTCTGTCGGGTGGTGTGAGAGTGTCCTAAAGCAGACTATGGAGAAGGCCACACGGCAAACTGGACACTTTCAATGAATGAACCATATGACAGGTCAATTACCCTCAACAAAGCAATTTTTCAAGAGCTCAAATAAGATTAGCCCATAAAATTTGAAAGGGATAGCAATAGTGATATTTCTAAGTTAGGTTACTGTTTATACCTGCTATTTCAAATACACATGTGAATAATTTTAATAGTATGTATGTATAACAATCTCATTTGACTACTAGATCTACATGCTTAAAGGTTTTAAAATCAAATTCTGAGTATCTTCTCCCTTGTGCTTAGCTTCGCCTCACATTTAGTGGATCATATGTGTGCTGAAGGTATTAAAAAAAAAGACCAACATCTAGATAAGAGGCAGAGACTAGCTGGTCTGGAATACTCCATACAGCTGCAGAAACTGCTTCGAGGCTTCAATAAGGTAGAAGGTTATTATCATTCAATATTTTGTTCAATAAGAAATGGCTCCCAAAAGTTGTCCTTTGATCTCTACATACAGACTGCAGCATGTATGTGTCTGCGAATGCACACCTATTCAGTGCTCACTCGCTCTCTCTCTCTCTCTGTCTCTGTCTGTCTGTCTCTCTCTCTCTCTCAAACACACACACAGAGAGGGGGGTGGGGGAGGGAGGGAAAGAAGAAACTGTATATAAAATAAAATAGTTCTGGGTGATTCATTAAAAATTGTTGATAACATGTAAGTATGGCTTTAAGTTTATTTTTCTGAAGAGTCCAACTATATGAAACTGCTCAACCTTCAAGATTTTACTAAAAAAAGCACGATTCTATATTTTCAATATCTGTCATGCTATATTATTTTCCTATGTTAAATTGGCAACTTTTATCAAGTTAAAAAACATACTTACAAATACATCAGATAACCAGTGCCAACAAGTACAATACAACTCCAATCCTCCCCAAAAAATTACAGTAAAGGTGAATGACAAAAGAAAATTTTAAATTGTATACACACACAGTTAAAAAGATGACAGTGACGGGCTGGAGAGATGGCTCAGAGGTTAAGAGCACTGACTGCTCTTCCAGAAGTCCTGAGTTCAATTCCCAGCAACCACATGGTGGCTCACAACCATCTGTAATGAGATCTGGTGCCCTCTTCTGGCATGCAGACATACATGGAAGCAGGATGTTGTATTCATAATAAATAAATAAATCTTAAAAATATTATAAAAAAAAAAGAGCTGCAAGTCCTCAAAAAAAAAAAAAAAAAAGATGACAGTGACAGTTCCAGGTTTGTTGACAGCACTGTAACTCTCCAACTAGGTAACCTAGGACAATCACATTCCTACCTCGTTCATCCTACTCAATTATCATAAGAATTATGTGATATGAGACTTGTAGACTTTGAAAAACAAAATGTAATAAAGACAATTTAATCATTTGTTTAATTGGGTAATGGAGAAACTCTTCAGTCTCTTAAGAAGAAAACTGCCACCATCAAGTAAGACAAGACAAAATGTGAATCCCCCTAAGTCAGCAGACTCCCTGATGTCCTCTATGAACTTCTATAAAGACAACATGACAATGTAGTGGTTTTATATACAGACATAAGTCAGCTCACAGACACTATGATATTCTTTGTGGAGCTGGGGACATGGCTGAGTGATTAAGAGCACCTTCTACCCTGCAGAGGACTATAATTCAGTTCCCAGCACCCAGGTCCAGAGAATCTAACCTTCTTCTGGCCTCTGAGGGCACCTGCATGCACATGGTGCACATATGTACATATGTACGGGAACACGGGCACGGACACACAGATATACACACACACACAGTCTGTAAAAACTCTGTTTAATGTTCAGTGTTTTTATAATTTCATTACTTGATGACTTATTTATTTGCTCATTTACTTATTGTTATTGGTTTACTCTCCTGGTGTTAAGAGTCTGAATTTAGAGCTTTATTAGTAGTGAACTTGTTTGCTTGTTTGGATGGTTCTTTGAGAGACAGAGAGTGTTTGTGTGTGTCACCATGTACTTCATGCTGGGCTCGAACTCCAGATCTTCCTCAAGTAGACTTATTTTTTAATAATAAAATCTCTTATAGAAATTGAGATTCCCTGATGCTCATGCTTGGATGAGGTTTGATCGCAAAGGCCTGTGTGTTAAGAGTTTGGTCGTGAACAGGAAATGGAGACGCTCTCTGAGAAAGGCGGGCCTTCACTGTGGTGGGACTGACCTCAGAAGAGTACTAACCTCCTAGAGCAAGTTCTCATGAACCTCTAGCTCCCTGTTCTGAAATGTGACGGTTTGTTCTTGCAAGCATCTCTGCCACTGCTATCCATCAAGATGTCACACAAAAACTCCTAAAGTAGAGCTGAGCCAGTGGAGATACCACGGCCCCTGTACCTCTAGACTATGAGCTAACGAATCTCTTCTCCATCAGTAGCCTGCCTTGGTTATTTCATTACAGACACAAAACTACACAGAGAACTGGATTCCAGGGTGGGACTGTTACAATAACTCTACGGAGAATGTGCAGCTGGTTTTAGAACCAGGTTCCTGGAAGAGTTTGGGAGAACACACTAGAAAACCCTAGAATACAGTAAGCAGGGACTTATGAGAAATTCTGGAGGGAGTTAATGTTTGATGGAGATAAGGATGCCTTCCCACATCAATGTGTACTAAATAAATCGTTTCTTCACAAAACGTGCCTGCCTTGGGTATTTCACTATAATGACAAAAACTTAGCAATGTGCCTATTTTTCTCTTCTAAAATTTAAAGACCTAGCAATTTAATTGTGTGACAATTTCACAATAGTTGAATCATGGCTACTCCCTTTAGACGCCTTTTATGGACTGTGTCAGGAGGCTATAGATATTTGAGTGCTTGACCACTGCAAACAGAAGTGCTCCTCAGACGCAGGTCCAGAGTTATAAAAGGCCTGTTTCTTTGTTCTGGGGCTACCGGACTTCGGTGTTGAAGCAGCAGCATATGAATATAATATAGACATTTTTTAGCTACACTGCCTGGGAGGAAGAGGATTACAGAGTACCAGCCTATCTGTTCTCACCCCCAAACAAATGCAAATTAACTGCTAAGACACCACACCGCTACTGCTCTAAGTGAACAAAAACTACATATTCTATACAGTGTTACACTACACAAATACCAATGTAAATCTAAATCTGAATGGCAGGTCTCAGAAACCAAGAATCAGGGCATCTCATTTCATATGGAATTGCTACTTTGGTTCCCATACTCAGTTATACACTGAAACCATGAGGAATCTTTCAATAAACTCACACCTGTATCAGTGCCCAACTGTTTTGATGTAACTTAATACAGGTTGTGACCTGAACACCGATTTTTTTTTTAAGCTCCCCAGGTAATTTGAAAGTACAAATTTGGAAACCACTAAATTACTATAGAAAATGCTCTGCCTCCAAAATAGACTACAAAAACATATAGGAAAGTACAGAACCTAAAAGTTAACGTAGAAATAATAAAATGAGCTCAAAGAGATAAAAGTGAGCTTCTATTATAGCTGATATATAACAAAATAAACAATTCATTTTCATTTTTATAGTTTGAATGGTTATCTGGCAACAGAATAATAAAAATTATCTTTAATTGGTATCAGAATCAAAAGTTTTCCATTTTTCATCAAGTTGTTAGAAGCCGCAGAAGTCAGGAAATAGTGTCTATAACACTGAAAATATTTGCTATAAGCAACTTAACACATGGTGAAAATCCTGTTTCTTAGATATTTTGTTTCATTTATCAAATATTTATTTGGGGTACATGGCAGACTCTTCTGGAGACTGGAGATACAGTTCACAACAGCACACATACACTCAGAAGGGGAAAGAGCCCACATGTTCAGAACATATATGGATCTAAGAATGAGGAGAAAAGAACAGCCACAAAAGGAGGGAATGTGAGGGGTCTTGCAATTGAAATAGACATGTTAGCAAAGACTTCAAAGTGGGTTCAAATGACTGGCATAAACCATATATTACAAGTAATAAGATGTGTTAATAAATATAGTAATTCAAGCATCAGCAAAGTGGATTAACCTAAAGACAAACCCACCTGCATGGGGGATCTTGGGGTTTTCAGGGAGTCTTCCAGGATCAGTTAAGGAGGCCCTCACTAAGGCAACCAGACAAAATATGGAGATGCCATAGAATACTGTAATATGAAATTAAATAGAGCAATTAGTCATTCACCATTTAAAATGTTTTATCAACAAGCGCAAAGTTTAAAACATGCATTTTAACCAACCCCATGAGGATAACTTTATCAACAGACTAGATATTAAAACAAAGAGGATTTATTTTATTTGCCAAGATGACATTATACTAAAAGCACCAATTTAAATATGATTTTCTAAAATAACTGATAAATTAGATTCGTTCATACAGTGGCCCCCGATAATGACAAATAAACGAATGAAGTCATTTAAAAGAATCAAGACAGCATTTAAAAAGAATTCTACATTTAGCCTTTCCTCAGGTCTATCTTTAAAATTATTCTAAATTGGCCGGGCAGTGGTGGCACACGCCTTTAATCCCAACACTCAGAAGGCAGAGGCAGGCGGATCTCTGTGAGTTCGAGGCCGGGCTGGACCGACAGCCTCTGAAACAATACAAAGAAACCCTGTCTTGTAAAAACCAAAAAAAAAAAATTATTCTAAATTAGTGATATTCTATTGCCCCTTTTGATGTATCTTAAGAGATGTACTTCAAAAATGAAGAATTAGAAACATTTGAATGTTAAACTAACCATAAAAATGACATTAAGGAGCAACTGAGATTCAGTCACTATAATTACATATTTTAAGTTAAAACATAGGCCTTTTGTAAGGAAATAAAAAGCCATCACACTGAACACTAAAAAGGAAACAGTACTCACTGAATGTGTGTCTGACTGCAATGTAAGTGTGTTTGTTTGCCTGTGGGTTTGATGGACATCTTACTACAGAGCTCAGGCTGGCTAGAAGTCACCATTTTCCTGCCTCAGTCGTCTGAGTGCTAGGACCACTGGATACATGATCATATCTAGCAATATGGATTAGCCTTACCACATGTACAATGGGAATCACAATTTATTACAGCTCTTATGATATCAAAATGAGGGAACACTGTAAAAACAATGGATGATCTCATGAGTCATTTTTTAGGATCGTGAAATTCTCATCTACCAGTAATATATCCGATCCCTTTCCCTATAATGCCTCCATTTTCAAGCCAGGCACAATGACGCATGCCTGGGACCCCAGCATGAAGAAGGCAGCAGAAAAATGGCAACTCTGAAGCCATCCTAGGTTCCAGAGTAAAGCCCTGCTTCAAAATATCAATCACTCAATCAATCAATCAATCAATCACCTCCCATGTCTGCAGTCAAATACAAAGCAGAAATAGAACTGCTGTCAGGCTTTCCTCTTGAACAAAATAGTCTTCAAGTACTTCCCAGAGGGAAACGAATGCAGATGTAGTATCTTAACTCTGCAAGTTAAAAAAGCTATTGGCTTGTACAACTGTAATTTAATTAAGAGGTTAGCAGTACTACTGAAATAGCATATTCAAATCATGGAGACACTGTCCTTCAAAACATTGACAATGATAAAAAAATCTTTACATAAGGTAATAAGACTTAGAAACTTACTTATTATTAAGATGCCTGGAATATGTCCTTCTTCATAGTGAGGAAAGAGGACAATTTTGGGAATTAAAACAATATTGTATAACCAGACAAAGACAATCAAGCCCATGCAGCACCAACCATGTGGGTCAACAACAAAGTGAATCCGAAGCCCCATTCTGCAGTCCTGGAGCTGCCTGCCAGCCCACAGGAAGACAGCCCTAAGAGAGAGAAGAGAGAGTTACTTCCATGGAGAAACTACTCAACAAAACTGCATCTCTGGAAACCACATAACAATGTTTACTGAGTTTCCTTTGTATATTGAGGTTTCATCTCAATAAGAATTTAGGGAAACAAATCAAAGTTCACTAAAATCTTCAAATAATTTAATTTATCCATTATAAATCACCACTAGTAAAAGTGAAAATGGCATGATCTGCTCAAATGTAGATACTTATTTTATCCTTAACTACAAACGCTACATGTAGACACAAAAGAAAAGAGTGAATATTCGACCAAAAGACATGTGCAAAAGTCTTAGCACTTTAATCAGGAGGCTAACACCACAGACTCTAAATCTGGTTATCTTACAGTGAAAGGGGTATGTTCTAGCTGGAAAGGAATTTGAACCTCTAAAGGGCCAAAAGAGTTCTGAGTTCTATACCTTGATCTGGGTAGATATATGCAAATGTAAACATAAAGAATGTCTGTGTACTTAAAACCACAATGAAAAAGTTTATAAATAATTTTAAAATGCTAAAACTAAGTGAAAGTTACAAATAGTTAAAATGATTAAAATTTATGGAATGAAGTCCAACTAATCTCATTACTATCAACTCAAGAAGACTCCTGTTTATCATCCAGTTAAGAGTTAACAATCAGCAAGAGATCCCCCATATGACAGTCTCCAACTGACTTGAAATTTCAATCAGAAGTGATGGCCATCAAGTGACCTAAAATATGTCCATACTGTAGTAGGCACAACTTATAAACATTAAATAACAGTTTACTGTACACAGTCTTGGGGCATCCCTGACATAAACTATAATGGTAAATAATAAATCAGGCCAGTCATCCTCAAACTTGCACCAAATCAGAATCAATTGGGGAGCTTAAAAAAAAAACCAGATTCCCAGACCCCATTCCAGGTCCACTGAATAATTCCTCACAAGGCTCAACATCAGGGCTGGGGATTTAGCTCAGTGGTAGAGCTAGGTGCAAGGCCCTGGGTTCAGTCCTCAGTTCTGAAGAAAAAAAAAAAAAAAAAGGCTCAATATCATCCCTGTGCATCATCAAGATGCCTGCTGGTGCAGTATATGTACTTGTACCAGTCGTTTCCTAGACACTGTAGATACAACTATTAATAAGGCATGATCTTCAATCAGTGGTTCTTAATCTATGAGTTGTGACCCCTCTATCTCCAAAAATATTTAAAGTTCGCAGCACTAGAAAGGTTGAAACTACTGTCTTTTTTTTTTTTTTTTTTTTTTTTTTTGGTTTTATGAGACAGGGTTTCTCTGTATTGTTTTGGATGCTGTCAGTCCAGCCTGGCCTCGAACTCACAGAGATCCGCCTGCCTCTGCCTCCCGAGTGCTGGGATTAAAGGTGTGCGCCACCACCGCCCAGCTGAAACCACTGTTTTAACTAAGTCCAATTGTAAAGTGTCATTTAAAAGGGTTAATTTATTATAAGTTCCAGATCTGTGAACAAAGTCAGTAAATGCACAGAAGATGGGGCCTAGCTACCATGGGATTCAAGCAGCACTTCCAGAACGCATACAAACTGAGTTCAAACTGATACAAACTGAGTTTTTACATCTTAAAAGATGTAAAAAAGTTACCTTAGCAAAAAAAAAGAAAAAATACTGCAAGAGAGGCAAGAACAGGGTGACGATGACTGAAAACCGCAGGAGGAGTCACAATCTGCCACCAAAAGTCACAGTGCCCCCAGGAACAGTGACTGGGGAACACAGAGGAGTTCTATCATGAGGGAAACAGAAACGTCATTTAGAATGTTCAAACTTTATTCTTATGCACAGGACAGCTATTCAAATGGGGGGTAAGTAAGATTTGTACTTTAAATTACTGGCACTCTTGTATGGGGAACAAAGTTAAAAACAGATTAGTTAGACTAAAAGAATAAAGACACGAAAGCCAAAATTAATTTTAGAGAAGAGACCAATTGAAGTAAAATCGAATCAGTGAGCCTCACTAAAAGTGACTCCCTACAGGAGTTAAAGAATGGACAAGGATGACTCCCAGATCTGCAGCTAGTATGTTACCCCCAACTATGTGATTCTAAGGATGACTGGTCTCCCACTGGAGGGCCTTGGCGTACTCAGCAAGCCCATAGGCTACCAAAACAAAGACCAAAGGCCACTTAGAAACTCCCAACTCATGCAGCAACAGAACACAGCTAAGTAACAGAAGACTCCTTGCAATTCCCAGCACAACTAAGAAAATAAATTAATTTTAAAATATTTTAATTTAAAAGGTACTAGTTTCCCCTTTTAAAAAATGGCAGGAACTCAAATGCAATACTCCCAACAATTTAAATCAGATAAAGTCCAAATCACTATTTTTATAAGAATGCTAAAATAGGAATTGAGCCTAGGCCTTTTAAAAAGTAAAAGTTGAACTTCATTACCATTTACAAGACAGTTCAGTATCATTAAAGAAAACCAGAGACTCTAAAGCATATTGTATAGTTTGCTAGGTATCATTATACTAAAAACTAAAGGAGCAAATAAATACCTACACAGCTAAAGAGACACATTTCAAAGAATAATTTGGGAGTATGGGAAGTTGGAAAAGAGTATATATATATATATATATATATATATATATGTATATGTATATGTATATATATATACTATACATATAGGTAGATAGATAGATAGATAGATATAGATATAGATATCTCCCAGGCTAGCCTGAAATTTACTATTAATATTTTTATCCCCAAGCTAACTATCAAGAGTTACAAGAAAAGACAGAGACTTTGTCTCCCAACATAGTCAATAGTATGAACCATTTGCCTTTTCGGCCTTCAATGCTTTGGTTCTACTCAGGACTAATAACTAATTTCACATGCTCTAGAGTAGTGTCATGGCTCATTCCTACTCTTGTTAACATACGAAACAGAAACACAAACAAATCTGCTAAGCACATAGGAAAATTATCAACTATTCATCTTTTAAACTCTGTTTTTAATTCCTTTAGTTTTGAAGCAACAAATTTTTCTCATTATTAAAAGATCAATCCCTCACAACAGAAAAGACAAAAATCATTTAAGATGGGTCTGTTTCCCTGAATGAAAATACATGTAAGCTGGAAAACTCTAAAACACCATCCCCAAGAAAACTGACCCCAGAGAAATTCACGGTCAGAGTAACACACTGTCAGATATTGAAAACAAATACCTGATTAGTAAAAACTAGCGGCACATGGTTCTTGCAGTGGGCTGGGAGAACAGTGGTCTTCCGAGAGCCCACAGCTGGTTCCAGCCTGTGACGGGAAGAGTGGCAGGATCACTCCAGTGTGGATGACTACCAGGTGTGGTCGGTGGCTGGACAGAAACTATTACACACTCTGAGCAACAACCAAACTCAATAGCGCCGCTCAAGCTTACGGGCAGCATCTGCCATGTACTTTCATTAGCGGGAGATCCCCACATGCTAATTCCTATATTAAATGTGAGCTCGTAATCAAACTTTGAAGTGACTAGTTGGTGAACTGGTTCGTCAACACTGGAGATTGCTGTCTGGTGACGACACTTTACTATAGTGACTAGCTTCATATTGATGTAAATTACTACCGCACAGACTACTTTTAAAGAAATTATAATTCAACTGTAATAAACTGCCCTGAGGAAATATTTACAATGTTCAATTTATCCTGAAAGTATACAATCTTTCCTTTCTTGCCATTTCAGGCACCTTTAGTTCACCACCTCAGAAAAAAAGATTTGAGTCATTGAGGGAAAAAAATAACAAGAAACGACTGTATGACAGAAAATTGTAATATCAGAATGAAAATTTTAGAGAAAAATAAGGATTAGCCAAAATAATTAAGAAGAAATGAAGTCAAGTACATATTTGCAAACAGTTTCCTATGACTCTCCACTTCAGCTAAAACTGGTTTTACTACTTACTATTTCACAAGTATGACAAACATTCATCATTTGCTGTTCATGTCTGAAGTCTCCCCAGAACTCTGCTTACTGTTTAAATCTAACTCACTCTCCAACGCTACTACAAATTTCCCTGACTCTTTAGCTGACGATGACCATTTTTCTTGTAGAGGTCAATAAAATCCAACTCTGGAAGAAGAGCCGGGGATGTTAGACTGTTGGAGGAAGGATGGCCTTCACAACCAAGACCCACAGACACTGACTGACCACAAAAAAACTTAAGTTTCTGAGCTCAAAATACACCAAAACCAAAATGACAGACAAGGCATTCCTGGAAAGAATATTATAATGTATGACTGATAAGAGGCAGGCAGAGTAAATACATGAAGCAGCAACTCACAAACAGAAAGAAATCTAGTGGGAGTCATTACTGATGAGGAAATGCGGAGTGACTAGTTATTTCTTCATGTTGAGAAGGCCTAGGGAAAAGAGCACCCCATACATTGTTGACCTGCATGTAAATGAACACAGTCCTCCTGAGAGGGCAATTTGGCATACCCGTCCACATGTGAAAGCCTTTAGCCCAGCAGTTTTATTTATAATAGCTACGAACGCTCACTCGCAAATGCACAAAGTGCACAGAACAAGGATATACAGCAATGCAACACTTTTTGTAACCATAAAAACCCAGTGCCATCTAAAACCTTATTGTAGGTTCATCAAACATTCGGCAAACCCAGGAAAAGTACATTTAAGATTGAGTTATTCTGTGCTATGTGCATGTCAAAGCTATAAGTCAATCTTGAACTCTAGTTAATAATAACCTATACTCAAGTATGAGGGTGAGGTTCCTGATGTGTGCAGTTTACTTTGAAATAGAACAGTAACAATAAAGTTGATCTATGGATGGACGGAGAGACAAGTGAGTATATGATGAAGTTCAGACTGTCAGTTACAGAACCTACGAGATGGCATTCAGGTGTTACACCTCAAAATGTATTTCTATGTTTCTGTTTGAATTTTTCAAGGTGAAAATTTGGGGGCCCAAGTTACAGGACAGCTTGTATAATAGTTTTTGTTAGGGAAAATAGAAGTGATTTGTACATAGAGTACATGAGGGACGCCGGAAGGAAACAGTAACCAAGCTGCTAACTGCGGCCATCAAGACACAGTGATACAGGGTCGACCCTCGTGTGCTTTCTGAGCTCACTGGGGAGCTGGTTCTGCAAGCTGGGTTACACCCCACTTCAGACCCAAGCAAGTTTATGTCTTATGTCCTCCAAAACCAAGGAGGAGCTGTCGCACCTAAATCTGTGACAAGAAGAAAAGAATATTGCACAGCAGCCTAAAAGTAAAAACGCTGTCCCTGAGAATAGTAGAAAGTGAGCCATCTCCAACAGAGGTTACAACTGTTCATCACGGTAGAAATACCTAACTCAGGACGGGAAGTTCAGCCGTGGGCAGACCATCCATGGGGAGAAAGCTCACATGGGAAGCGCAGTGACTGCCTCTACTTCCCCAGTGGATTTCTGTTTGGAATGGCGTCCCCTGTGCTTGCCATCTCAGGCAAGCCACTTCAGCTGTCACTTACTGGGTACTGTAAATCCTCATCCGAGGACGCTCTTCTGTCAGGTTCCCCTTCTCTACTCGTTTCTTTTGCTCGCTGTGCTCGCTCACTTGAGACTGGACACACAGCCATTACATCATTTAGACCCAATGTAACACATGGCAGACAGAGTAGTGGGGAAGACAAGACGACTTTTATGTTCTCAACTCTAAATTCTTCTCAAACAACTGAAAAATACAAACAGCCTAAACAAAATGTTTGAGATTTCTGACTTCAAATTAGTTTCTTCATACAATACAGACAGACCTGCATAAAGCCATGTAAGATTGATAATTTAAAAAGATATTTCTGAGGTTTTTAATGAAAAGGGCTTATTTAAGAAAATAAATTCCATCAAAATTTAAAATAAAAAAGTCAAATCTAAATTGTCTTAAATTCTTCATAGCAAATGGACAATCTGCTCAACACAAGATTCCAAGGCCACACTATGTCACAGAAAGCAAACACTTACCACTTGCAGATTCACTGAGATGAGCTGTAATTCTCCTGGCACTTGCATTTAGAAGTGGTATCTTCTTGAATCATTCTTTTATTTCTTTCTTTATATTACTTATTCCATCAGATGGGCCTCCCTTCAATAACAGTTCCCCGTGAGTACCTATGAATAGTGTAACAATAATTTCTCACAGAGATAAAGACAGTACGCAGGTAGACATTCTGAGAAAACGCCAATAACTAAAGTGTTCGAATCAGAACCAAGGCGATCCCACCCCACCCGCCCCCAGGAGCACCAACGGCCATTATTCCTGGAAGCTCTCTCCTTTGAAATCACTCAGTTCCCATAAAACCAAATGATCATGTGTGCTGCATCTGGGCTCTCCTGAACTTCCTTGGCCAAAAGCAGGGTCACAACGCATTCTAAGCTCACTTGGTAAGAGTCAGGACAATGAAGATGAAAACGTGAAACTATAACTCTCTAAGCATGATGAATAGTGAGTAAATGTAAAATACATGTTTTATTCAAATTTTTAACAAAACCGTATCTTCTTGTAACAAAACCACTGACAGTCAACCACAAAAGTGAATTCGTATAGTTCACATGTTAAAATATAATATCATAAAAAACTCTACATAGGAAATGCCAATTCACTTCTTTATTAACCAATTTACTAAACATATGCTATCTCCTAGAGCATGGATGCTAAACAAACTCAGGTCCTCTGAAGAGCAGCAGGTGCTCTTGGGCACTGAGCATCTCTCAGCCCCCACTAACTCTAACCAAGCTCAAAGTGGTCTCCTTCCCTTCGCTTTGGTCTTAGGGACCAAGTATTTATGAAAAACCCCTCAATGGTAATTAAATGAATTCTGTTTTCCAGGGGGAAAAAACCCTGAGAATTACATGTAGTGCATTTTGAAATATGACTAAAGTCAATACTGGTGTGAGGCTGGAGCTCTGGGGTGGCTTCCCCCAGCACTTTCTGTTAGTCACATTATTAGGAAAGAGCACAGGATAATCATCCATGAGTCAAATTCCAGGCACTCGGCTTAAGTCAAGGAAGACATCTGTGGAATACATGTAATAGTCAACCCCTAAATCCAGAAGTTAGGGGATACCAATATTCCAATGTCATAGAACATAAACATTGTACATCTGTAAGAATGTAACTCTTTAAATAATTTTTCAAACACACTACAATAAAAAAAAACAAAGTTGCAGTTGTATATCTTTAAAGACACCCATAAGGCTATTTTTACTTTATTCTACTCTAAAAATTAGTTAATCATAGCGGTCATCACTAAAATACCAGTCTCTAGCTGACTCTAGGAATCAGCCAATAAGCTAATAAAAATTTAAAATATCACAGATAGTGTATTTATCAGCAAAGGAGACCTAACTCTAGTATGGGCATTAAAAATAAGGAGCTAGTGTCAAATTGTGACACAGCCTCTTTTCACTTTCCAAGTTTCACTGAAAAACAGTGATAGTAATGCCAACATAGAGAACTTTTCAGTGAAAAGTTGCCTAGCAAGGAAGCAGCATTGCCCAAAGGTAACTAGAATGGAAAGTGAATTAAAGATAAGCATTGCTTCTAACATTAGCAATTACTAGATAAAAGTATCCCTGCATCCCAACATTAAAAGCTGTACTAAAATTTAGCCATCCATCTACTTTCTACTTTGTTGAATCCTAAATCCAGGGCATTATTTGTCATAATAAACCCTTAAATGCCAATGAGATGTCTCAGTGGGTAAAGGCACCTGCCATCAAGCCTGAAGACCTGAGTTCAATCTCTGGGACCCATATGGTGGAAAGAGAACCAACTCCTGCACATTGTCTCTGACTATACAATGCACATGGCAAGCATACGCCTGCACACACACACACACACACACACACACACACACACACACACACTCTCTCTCTCTCTCTCTTACACATTCACACAAAATGAGTAAGCTGTCAGGAAAACCCCTTCAGTTACTGCAGTCATGCCAACTAGCATTGTACTGCACCGTAAGTTTGCAGAAAAGAGTCATGCAACATGCTGCCTGACATATTTTCAAGCGGAAAAAGAAAACAACAGGGTTGAGTTGAAACAGTCCCTACTCCAAATCTCAAGCACAAGGCAAGATGTCAAACTAGAGAGTGAAGCATGGACGGAAAACAGCACTTGACTTCAGAAACTGGTGAGCAAGGCCAATCCAGGCATTGGGAGACAGTTCTCCAAGAAGAGTTGGAAAGAAACATGGGTGCAGCAGTGTCCAAGTGTACTGCCCTTGCACCCCAGTGGTTCCAAGACTGTGGGAGGCTTTCTGTCACTGAGTTTGAACAAAACTGAACACAAGCTGCTGCCCGTCACACGTATTTGTCACTCTGTACACTGGCCTCACGGGTGAAACACTCACAAATAATGTACTTCAACACTGAGCTAGAGCTGCATACTTCAGCACACTCTCCCGACAAAAACATAACTTGGAAGACAGAATGGGATCAACTGAAGGCAGACTACCAAACATTGTCTCAGCCAGTACGAAAGTTCTGTGGGGATTCTCACTGAGGAATGTGGGGGTACAAGAACACAAAAGGCAACATTGATGTAGGGTAGGGACAGGTTCAATAAGAACCTTCCTCCAAAAACAGCACCAGGAAAAAACGTTCAGATAAAGTAAAAGCCAGAAATGAAGAGTTGACCAGGTATGTCCTTCCAAGTGGGAGAGTGCGTAAGCTATAGTGCTTCAAGTAGCCACTGGGCCAAGACAGCCTGTGACACGGAAAAGAAGCTAGATTAGGTTGCCCACACTTAGCAGGATTGATCAAAGCAGGGATGAGTTAAGCACACTAACAGTAAATGTTCCTAATCATGAAAACCTGCTGCTGGGCAGTGACCGCCTTTAACTCCAGCACGTGGAAGGCAGAGGCAGGTGGATCTCTGTGAGTTCCAGGCCAGCCTGGTCTACAGAGCGAGTTCCAGGACAGCCAGTGTTACAGAGAAATCCTGTTTTGAAAAACAAAACAACAAACAAAAGGTTACAGCTTACTGGGGACTCTTAACCAACAAATCATAATCCTGGCAAGACCGGAAATAGGTTTCTTACTACTTTGGCTTTTTATCCTCTTTTTTTCTCCCAGTGCCAGTGATCAAACCCAGGGCCTTGCTCATCCCAGGCAAGAAATCTACCAGTGACTGACACATGTAAGTACACACACACCGCACACACAGGTACACACACATATATGCACACATATACATGGAGAGAGATCAAACATCAATTTCAATAAGAGCCATTTATACACTGACTGTTCCACTAGATGGTAAATGAATGATCTTCTATTTCTAGAACATTTGAAAAGTTGAGTCTAAGCCCTAATATTTGGTTAAATATAAGAAAGACTACATACCTTTCCTTTCCCTAAGCTGAAAACGTGTTTCCATGCGGACATTCCCAGAGTTCTAAGTTTCTTTACTACTCTATATGCTCTCCTATTATGATTCTGAATCACCCACTATGAATTAGAAAAATCACTCAGTGGGAAAATAAATAAAAATGTTATCATCGATTGATTTCCCTCTTTGTCAGGATCCCAATTGCTATACTGATGTGTCGGTACTTAGGTGTTTAAGTTTTCTTAATAAAACAAAGCATACTTAGATGTCAGTTTCTCTTGAACATGTACTATTTTGTTTCTTCCAGCTATAGCTCCTAAAGTATTAGTAGAAATTTCCAGTTTGAAGATAATCTAGTATAATTCTACTGTTTTATTACCAAATTGAACTCTGGGGTTCTGATACTACAAACATATCTACATTTTCCCCCCATGAGATAGATGATTTAAATGTACCCTCACCATGCCAAAAGGCATTAAATTAAAAACAAGGCATTTGCCAAATAAACATGGAGAAGCTTTAAGAAACGGTTCTTGGAGAAGTTTAGCCATCTTCCTAAATATCTGGGTGAGAAAAAACGTTGGATCCCTGACCTACCCGTGACCCCACAGCTGGAGAGTACAGAAACCAAAAGTGAATCTGTTTTTTCTTTCCTCACTCCAAATCGTATTTGTTTTCTTTCCAACTGACTTCACACCTCTTCAAAAGCTTTACTATTGAGAGAGGGCACAACTAAGGTAAAAACAGAGGACCCCTCTGAACTTTTATCTTTGAATCTCAAGCGCTGGAAGAACTTAATGAGATACTGCACCAAACCCTTCATCTAGGAATGGTACACTAGGCAGTCATCAAACAGTAAGTGCTATTATTATCGTTTACCACAAAGCAGGTAGTGAATTTTTTTGGGGGGTGCACATATTAGCAGTGGGTGGAGGACCCATTTGACAGGCCTTTTAAACTTACGCTTAATTACCCTTATTTGCCCTTATTTGGGGCTGCAATTTTACACTATGATTTATGACCCACCCACAATGACCTTGATTTTTCCCCCCTCCTGTACTTTTATGAACTGCTAGACTGCAGTATTACCAAGTAATAATCGACCAGGTCCTGTTAGCCCTGCAGATACAAACATCTTCCACTGACTCATAAGGGATCTTAAAAATGTGACCCAAATACAGCTCGAGAAAGGCCATAAATCTTAAACGATCACTGCAGCTTAGGTCCAGGTAGCGATTAGAGAATGGTTAACAGTGCAAAGTGCTGCCATGCGGAAAGCCATTTTCTCAAAGCCACCCGATGTGGCCGAGGGAGCGGAGAGAGAAGGTCAACGGGGGAGGGGTGCACGGTTTCTCCAAGGGATCCTCCGCAGCTCCTCCGCACCAGCGACCTCGAAATGAATGAGACCACACCGGCAGCCCGGGGCCCCGGAGGTGCAAGGAAGCCGGAGTCCCGGGGGGCGGGCGGGGGCGACCTCGGCGGGTTCCTCTCACCACCGCAGTCAATTCCCCCGGCCCGGGAGGGGCCGCGCGGCCTCCGGGAGGGATGCTCCGCCGCGGCTGGTGCAGGACCGCCCGCCGGCCCACACTCACCGCCGGCCGCTCCGCACGCAGCTCTCCCCTCGGCTCCGCGCCTCCGCCGCCCAGGCCGGGCCGCGCTCCCCTTCCGCTTCCGGGAGCCGCGGCGCCGGGACCGGCCGAGTGGGTGTCGGCATGCCCGCGCGCTCGCGCGGAGGCACGGCCGCCGTCGCCGTCTCCGCTTCGCGCCCCGGAGCCGCGATGGGAGCCGCCGAGGGCCCAAAGACCTGAAAGCGCTCCGCCGCCCAGCGCTGAGCCGAGCGGGCTTTCACCTAAGCCTCCCTGCGCCTCCCTGTCCTGCTGCCCAGGAGACCCGCCCGTGTCCCCACACTCTCCCTGCATAGGAGCACCCTTAGCTTTAAGCAGTGTTCTCAACCTCCTTCTGTCAGGGCGACCGACCTTTCTCCCCAGTGACAAGTTATGGATTTCCAGGGCACTTCGCTTCAAAATTCAGTCTGCAACATTTGACATCTACAACACTGGATCTTGTAGGGAATGCCTAGGCTGGGCCTGGTCATTCTGTACCTGAATTTTGATGGGATCTGCAGGTGACTCCTATCAGTACACCCCAAAGGTAGAAAAGCATCCGTGTTCAGTATTATTATGGCCTTTAGACCCTCTGTTGGGATGTCCCAGTCAGTCAAGCTTTTTCCAATTCTTGTTGGCAACCTACATCTTCGTATGCATTTCAGGAGACCTCTATAAGTTTCCAGTTTTCCAAGCAGTGAAACCTAGGAAAAATTGTTGGGCTTGGCAGTTCAAATAACCCATCTCCCAATCTAAGTTGTTCCCTCGCAAACGCCTGAGATAACATGACTAAAACTTTTTGCACCTCACGCCAGCTCCTAATACAGTGCTGTGGGGAAGCTTACACTGTTCGTGGTGCGTTACACCTGCATGACCCGAAAGGAGAAACAGTGTGTTTGTGTGTGGGGGGGGTTGCCTGCAGTAGGAAGTCTGTACTTGTTGTTGAATGGTCTTGAAAGCCTTCCAAATGTAATTGTTCCTGGTGGTACCAATAACTCAGGTCCTGGGATGACAGCTGTACTAACTCCAAACTTTCCTTCAACTAGCTTGTGTCATTCCTGTAGAATCCCTTTAATTTCATTCCCCTAAAAAGTTTCTCTCTCCTCTCAGGCTGAGGCAGGATAGGAAGACAGAGAAAACAAAGGAAATGGGAAAGGATAAAAAGAATCTCATCCTGAGATCTAGCTTTGGTTTCCTCTTGGCTGAGTGTCAAGAAACTTCAACACAACCTAAGGCATAGGTTGCCTACAGAGGTAATGTTCATTTTTCCAAATACATCTTAACAATGTTAAAAGTCACAGTGGTCACTTAGGGCCAGAATGCCCGTGGCCTTGAATTCAACTCTATTAGCACTACTCTCTCAACTCTAAGTCTACAAACAATAAACCTCATAAAACCACCTTACAATCTTATTTACAAAAAGGGAATTCTTTGGTTTGGTTGTTTGTTTTGTTTTGTTTTCAAGACAGTGTTTCTCTGTGTAGCTCTGGCTGTCCTGTCCTGGAACTCACTCTGTAGACCAGGCTGGCCTTGAACTTAGTGATCCCCCTGCCTCTGCATCAAGGGCATTCTTTAAGATAAGAGAAATAAATAAATCATCCCTTTACTTTTAAACTGTACTTAACTTATAAACTTTGCCTATCCTTTAATCCTTGTAAATTACATATTTTGAACAAATTAATTAGAAAACTGAAGAGCTATATGTGTGTGCACATACATATACAAACATATATGTATATATCATAAAGACTCCTAGCATAACTGCCTCCCCTCCTCCCAACACACACACAATCATGCCTCAGGTGTGGAGGATTGTCCTTTCCACAAGCAGATTGGCTCCCTCTCTGTGGCTTCTCCCTCCCTCCCTCCCTCCCCCCCCTCCTATAACCCTAACCCCCACATGCGCTTAAACCTGAAATACATGTTGTCCCTTATTGACACTAACTAAATTCACTTTGCTCTGACTGTTAGCATTCAGGTTTCTACACTGACCAGAGCTGAATCCTGGCAGGACACTTCAGCTGCTGCCACTACTTAGAGCTCTCCTGCATGCTATCTCCCCTTGTAAAAGGCAAGCTCCCTTCCTGCTCCCTCTAGTCCCACAGGCTTCTCCTGTTGCCCTCTCCCTTCCCCGCCCCTCCCCTATGTTACTTCCCTTGCCACCACTGCTAAACATTAACAACACTGCTAGTCCTTAATTCATTTCGGAATGTAGTTCAGGATGTAGCTTTACCTCTGAGTGGGGGGATTATAAGAGTGTGGCTCTATGTCTTTTGAACATGATGTTCTTCGTGCTAACCAAATTGCGAGTGTGTGGGGGAGGGCATCACCTGGAACCCTGCTAACACAGAGTTCACTTGCATAGATAGCACTTATGGAACTTTCTTGCACCCTCATATTATAATGAGCTGCTAGGAATTTGAAAATGTGTTGTTTTTATTGCAAACTTTATGACCTTTAAGTCACAGATTAATTTTATTGTCATGGTGTGAGCCCCAGAAAAGCAGTATCTGGGTCACCTGGGAGCATGTGAAAAATCATAGATTTCAGCTTATCCCAATCTACAATACTAGAAATTTTGGAGGAGAAGCCTACAAACCTGGGTTCTAACAACCAGTCAGGCAATTCAGAACACACACTCAAGTCTTAGGATTGTTCAGCTAGACCATTGTATGCTGAAACAACCCAATGGTAGACACTATATGCAAGTTTTATTCTGTTTCAAGTTAACAAGTTCCCCTTTCACACATAGCTATGGTGTTGGAAAGCTTGCCATAATTGCTTTTGGAATAAGTAATTTTGGTTATCATCATGCTTTTGAGATACTGAGATTTTTTGTTACTTGGTTTCTTTGAATAGGGAAAATAAAAAAGTTAAGGAGTAACTTTGAAAGAAAATACTTAGAATGAATTCCCCAAACCCAATGACCTGAATTTCATATTGTTTTGATGTCTCTTCAGACATCTCTTAAAGGGGAACAATCTGTGTCAAATGATCCCAACAAGTGCCCAAAATAATTAGTTGAGACATATGAGTGCATACGAAAATTGGAAGTATACACATTTTTAATGCCTGTTTCATAAATTAAACCTTCTTCTACTGGTCAAGTTGATTCCACAGAACGTCTTCTAAGGAAAGCATGGAAGGTCAGCAGCCAGAAAAATATCCCTCCGTGACCTGCTTTATCATGGGGAGTTAAAAGACAAAGGACCACCTCCCTCATTCCATGATTCAAGCTAAGCATTGATCGTATTGATAGACACATGCCACTGTGAGTTCAAAGAAGAAGAATGACCTCAGGAGCAGACACTTGCCTGAAGAGGATTTGGTTGTTACTGTTGCTGGTTTTCCTACTCTTTAGTTTCTGTCAAGGCAGGAATCAAACCTGGGGCTCCAAAAATGCCAGGTAAGAACACCCCCAGCCCAAGAGCCTTTCTAGTTAATTTAAGCATGGAAATATGTCGTGCACCATATTCCCCTCCAGAACTCCGCTCCACTTCATGGATCTGTGTTGCTGAGGCGTGATTACTAATCGACCTGACTGTGTCTCCAAGTTAAAAAAAATAGACAGGGGAAGTGACAGTGCTGCCACTGCCAGCGTAGTTTCTGACAGAAGCATGGGCAGAGCCCTCGTGTAGATGAGCTCCGCCAACTGCTGGGCTTCTATGCCAATACCAGGGAGGACTGGATTTGACTGCAATTTCCAAAAGTCGGTGCAGTCCAGAGTTTAATCAGCACTGGCTAATAGCCCTTGGCAGCTTTGGGTGGATGGCGTTCTCCACCTGCCCAGCTGGGTACTGTGTCCTAAGCACCCACATTTGATGCACATTCATGATTTCTTGGTTGCTCTAGTCATCACCTCCATCTGTGTGAGTGGCAGGGTGCCCATTCCAGAATAGACTAATAATCTAAAAGTTGTTCTTAACCTTTTTCGTTTTTGAGTGGTACATCTCTTTGAACATATGATGGAAGTTGCAGATCCCCTCCTCAGAAAAGTACACACACACACACACACACACACACACACACACACACATACATACATATGAGTGTGCACACTTATTTCATATACTCATGTATAAAGTTCTATGCACTGCCCCATCTTCCTACATTTTAAGAGGATCACAAGGAAGTTATGAACATCAGGTTTTGTAAAAACTTGCCCTAGGATGTTAAAAGTACATTAAGGGCAGCCCTTAAATTTCAAATAGGTAGATAAACTCTGAAGAGCCACTGGGTTCTTAACAGAAAAGCAAAAGCAATCCTAAACAGACACAAGCTAAGTGTTGCCGTTGCTGAGAAGCTAGGTGTCTCAACAGGGTGGCCCCGGGGTGGCCTCATGGAGAAACAAAAGAGAGCAGGACTTGGGGTTTAGGGTCTGAAGTAGGGTCCCAATTGCCAGAGGAAGGAAATGGGACTGGGTGAACACATGAAGACATAAGGGCCCTGTGGTGTGGACCCAGGGTATAACAGACAGAGACAGAAATCCAGGGTATAACAGACAGAAAGGGAATGAAACAGTCAAATCACGATGAACCATAGAAACCAAAGCTGTGTCTGAAGAGGAGCCACGAGACAAGTGCCATTTCCAGCTCTAAGCCGGAAAAGACTTGCTGAAGGTGTCATTGTCAAAAAGCAGAGGGGCAGATTGTCTGGAAAGATTTCAGTATTCTAAATTGAACCTGGAATTTGGTGGCTGGTTGCTCTGGGTGTTTTGACTACATTAAAGAAATATTAACTTGAGATCGTTATGTTTTCATAAAAATGTCAAAGGGAAATATATTCTGGTAGGTGTTCCTATGAATTTAGGTTCCAGGACACTAAACAAGTTAAAATATGTTTGAGATGGAAAGAATGAAAATCA